GTATCAGATTGAGAAACTGTCGTCAGATTCATTGCAGTAATCAACGATGATAAACATTGACTTTCAAAAGAATAATCAAATTATCACTGTTTTCGTTGATAATGTTATCATTTTTACAGTACCCAGGTAGAAAATACAATATTGAGACATTACCTTCGGTTTTATAGTACCATTTACAAAAATAAATTTTACACTGGAAAAGTTACAGTAAATCCTATAAAAAACAAAATTGATATATGTTGGCATTTGATACTATTAAAATGTTTTGATCAAAGTATTAGATGAAAAAATGAATATTTCAGAAAAATAACTTTATATTTCTGTATGTAAAACTTTTTTCTTACTACGAATTTGATGGGATATTCAACTTTAGCTATCATTTTTAGCAAGTAATTTGGAAAATTTTATAACTTTAACAAATTATTCATGTGAAAAATTAACTTTGTTTCCACAAATTAAGGTGATTAATTTAAATTATTTTAAACATCAGTCGACAATGAACTGATATAAATAGAAATAATTCATAAGTGATCACTAAAATCAACAAACTTTTAACAAAGTCAAACTGACATAAGTTTTTTTCAAATATTGCAATTGACAAAGATAATTATGCAAATTAAGAATGAAGAGCTTCTTTTATAATATTTTATCAATACACAAACAAAAATGCATAAGTAATTTTAAATCAAGTAAACTATTATTTATTTAAAATTTTCGATTTTAGAAATTCACAACAAACAGAAGTTTATTATCACTGAAAACTAAAAAATTAATCCAATGAATGTTCAAAATTAAATTCGGTGCAAGAATTTTTTTAATTTAAATTTCATTCTTTATTTTTACAATGAAAAATTATTGAAATAATTTTTGCTTAAATCCCTTTTTAAAAAAGTTATTCTCATCAAATCTAAAAGAAAATATGAGCATAAATTGGATTTGAGGATTTTTTTCACATAGACAAAATGGATGTATTCATTTTACATTTAACTTAATATCAAATTTTGCAAAAATAATTAATCAATTAATACTAATTTAGCTTTAATTCAAATTTGTCCATAAAAATGTTGTAAACTTTGATATTTCGTTTGATTCCTATCTTTCAAATCACTGAAAAAACATTTGTTATGTCAGATTCAGACTTAAAGAATACTTTAATAGCAAACCTAGTTTAAGTTAAAATAATATTACACATATATTAAAGGTTCAAATGTTATTTCAAGGACCACTTTCGTACAGTAAAATCAAAAAATTCAATTCTAGCAATGAGAAAAACAATTATTCTGATTATGATATCACAAAAAAATGATGATAGTAATTATCAGCAATAATAATAATTTGATAAAATTAATCATGCTTATGCACCAAGAATAAATTAATTAGTAATAGAATACATGATAAAACAAATATGAGATTAAGATACTGTATACTGTAGAGAACATAAAAGAACATAATCTTTTAAGTTATAACAAAAAAAATTAAACTGAAGAATAACACAGCCCAAATTTATGTTGATATTAACTTTGTTCATAATTATATATGAATTTTAGTACTTTTATCATTATTTTATTTTATATTATATTACATATTTGAACATTTATTATTAAATTTTCTCGTGAAATTTCTACGCTCAAAAGAGAAAACCACAAGTATAAGTGAATAAATGGAACTTTGAGGAAATGAGTGAGCATAAAACGGATTAAGTTTATCTCAAATTAAGCTTCTGACAATTTTCTTCGATAATAAACTTCTGATAAAATCGTGCAAATCTTTTAGCACTAATAGTTTGAACTTTATTCAAAAATAGTGGAAGAAGACAAATGTATTAGTGTGAATTTGATGATAAGCCTCAAAAAATCTTACAACTATACTAAAATATTGGATATTAAAGATTGAGACAGAAAAATTAGAATTTCAACCAATTTAGTTTAAACTTTTAAGCTGACATTACTAGAATGCGCTTAGAAAACAGCATAAAATTCTTCCAAATTGGTGTTAAAAATTTCAAATTTCAGGTAATCCTGGCTTCGTTACTAGTAAATAATCCTACCCTCGTTACTAGTAAGTAAACTTAGTTTCGTTACTAGTAATCGCTAATCTTTAAAGTGGCTGATTACAAAGTCACAAAATTGTGATCAAAAAAATCAATATTCAAATTTTCTTTGTTTAAAGTGGCTGACTATTGTGATTTTGTGATTAGCCAAAGTTAAAGAAAAATTCTTGCCATTCAAAAAATAACAACTAAAAATTGAAGTAAAATCATAATTTCTGAAAGTTTTGAAAAGAAACAATAATCCTTATAATCCCAGAAAAGTAATTATGCCGAAGAATTTTGTAGATTTATGAAAGTATTTCAAATTTAAATCAGAACGTTCATCAAAATATCATAACTTTTATTTTGAATATGCGATTAATTAGCATAACAAATGATAACTCTCAAATATTACAATGATATAAAGTCTAAAATGAATATTGCGACAAAACAAACAAAAACATGAAAAAAAAATCTAGCAAATATTCTTTTGAGTTGATCAATATTCAAATTTTCTTTTTTCCAAAAATCTGTTTTCTGATATTAAAATTGATCAATTATTAATTTGGTAAAAATATTCATTTTTTTGGCAATCTTTGAGTTTAAAAAACTTTGCAGCACTAATTTAAGCAATAAATATCTCATAAAAACTAATTTTCGGATTTGTTGAAATAAATAAATAAATAAAAATAGCTATTTTTTCCAAGAAGTAAATAATGATAGAAGTGACAACAAAAGCACTTCAGAGGTTAGACTTGTTAGCAATAGATGACTTCCACGCAATATACGTACACTTCAGAAAATTTATTGGCTAAATATTATGACGAGGAAAATTGAAAATAATGATTGTGAAGTTCTCGAACTTTTATAGACTAATAAAATTGCAAATTTTTGAATTCTTAAAAAAAATAAACTTGCAACTTATTGAATTTGTTGTGGGCAATGAAGACAGTTAATCACTTTTGCGATTAAAAATAATATAATAATAGCGTCATTTTCTAACAAATATCCAGTTAAAACTTGAATATTGTCATATTTTAGAGTGAAACGAAATAGCAATAAATAATGCAAAATTTTAATAAACACAAAATTTGTATTTTTTAAAATTTTATAAAAAAGCATTTAAATTTTTAAATTATTACAAAATACATATTTTTTGTACTGTAGAAAAAAAGACAGAAATTTTGAAAAATGTTCAATTATTTTATAGTCTTAAAATAAAGATTGTTATGAAAAGTTATGATAAATATTTAAGATTAGTTTGCAGTTGAAAAACTTCTGTAAAAATTAATCATTTCAGAGAACAAAATAAAAACTTTATAACTTAAAAATTCGAAAGCTTATAAATAAAAGGTTTTTAAAAAAGAAAAAATATTTTTAAAATAAAAATATATTTTATAAAAAGATTATTTTAGAAGAATAAAAAGAATATTTTATTAAAAGATATTTTATAAAAAGTTTTTCAAAATAATACTTAATCGCAAGTGCGAAGAGCTATCATTCATTTGTCAGTGTTATTGCATGTCAAAAAGCACAAAATAATTGCAAAAATGTAGTTGATATAAATATGCAAATTATTCTTGCATGAAAAAAAAAATTATCTCACAAATATAATAACCTGTCAAGCACAAAAACTGATACAAAATATTAGTATTTTATAATTTATTTAACAATTAATAACTTTAAGTTATTAAAGTTGTGATGAATTATGGTAATGAAATAGCCTTTCTTTGTCTACGGTAATATTATTAATATACCATTAAAGTTACGATAATGAAATTGCTGACCAATAATTTCCGTACAAATTATTAGTCAGCAATTTTTTTTTTCTATACTTCATAATAATAATTAACAATAAAAATAACTATATATATATGGTTATTATATGGTTAAGTAAAGCTCACTTGCGATATATGGTCTTATATATGGTTAAGTATCATACTTATCATACTTACCATATATATATATATATAGTTATTTTTATTGTTTATGCACTAATATTTATATGCATATGTTAAAATTATAAGTATGATTCAAAGAATGACAATGGTATGGTAATAATATTACCGTAAACAAATATAAGCTATTATATAGTATTTATCTTCTGATTTTTCATTCACGCAATCAGAGAAGCCAATTGCTTCTACGCAATTCTATTTGAGCAAAAAGTTGTTGTAATTAAGGGCCAAAAAATTGTCAGGAAATTGCTCTGTAGGCACATAAATTTGCAAAAGTTTGACTGCTTGACTTAAATTGAACATCGCTTAGAATATATAAAATATAAATTTACTTGTGGAAGTGATAATTTGATAATTTCCGTAATAATTACGTGACATTTTCTGCATTCAGAACATATCAAACACGTTTGTAGTTCAAAAACATAAGCTTTAAACTTAAATGAATTCACGTCACGTCAAAATGGAAAGTAAATATGAAAAAAGTATTAAAATAGCTTGTTTGAAAGTAAATAAGTGTGATTTTTGTTTGGATTTTTATATATTTTTTATTATTCTGATTTCAATGCAACAAAAGTGACAGCAAGAAATGAAAATGTTTGGAAACACACGCGATGAAGCATTTAAATTATTCAAGCAAAATAATATTTGAGATAGGTGGAGCGGATAAAATGCATTTCTGTTCTAAGACTTTTTACTGAGATAAATTGAACTGGAATTTAATTAGAATTAATATTTTAAATATTTTAACAGACTCATAGCTCATTTTTATCTGATGTCTAGATCAATTGAAATCTAGAATTATTTTTTTTTAATTAATCAATATTTACATCCATCTTTTTCGTTGTTTTGGAAATCTGTTTTTTGATGTTATCATTGTGCAATTATTAATTTGCTAATAACATGCATCTTGTGGGCAGATCTTTAGATCTAGATAAATAATCCATACTTACAACTAGTAAGTTTTGACTTGAATCAAAAGATCTAGATCTTTAGATCAAAGTGGAAACTTATTTGTAGTAAGCACCGATTGTTCTACAAGAAAAGGGTAAAAAATATAAATGAATTTGAATTCTATGATCATAAATCTCGACAAAAATAAAATTCATCTAGCACTGCTTGAGAATATTTATTTCAGTAAGTGGAAAGTATTTATTTATTCCTTTAGAATCTGCTTAGCTGATACGTAATCATATCTTTATTTTGCTGAAATACAAATTTACTAAGCAAATTACTTTTGATTGTTTTTTTTCTTGACATTGCGATGTCTTAAAAGATGCTAAATTGCTCTTCACACATTGTTAAACACAGAAAATGAGTGATAATTTGTTTTTTTTCATTCATTTCTGACTTCAAAATTAGTTCAAATATATGTCTAAGCAACGAAGAGATTCTCTAATTGTGACCTTTCAGAAGCAACTAAAATTTTGTTCACAATAAAATGAAGAGAGCACAAACTAACTTCTGAAATTACTATTAATTCAACAATTCTTTAGAAACAAATCTTTACGATTTTGCATAATTTTATTTGACAACATATTATTTGTTGATTGCTTTTGCAATTTATACTTTGGATTATTATCATTTATTACAAGTATTGAATGATTATTTCTGATTGCTTTTGATGCAAAAAAATTCTGGTAATTTTTTCATTTCAAATTTAATGCTTAAATTTTTATTTATGGATATTTCTTCAGCCATTATTGTTACAGTATGAACATGAATTTGTAAAATTTTGATAAACATATTTTAAGTTTACAACAATTCGTACTGATTAACCTAAAAATAAAATTGAAAACGAAGCCCTCAAAGAATACTTGAACGTGTGTTTACTTCATTTATTGTGTATCACGTAAATACATTCTGAAATACACGACCATTATTTCCTTCCATCGACGTAGTATGTACTCATTGCAAAATTCAGTATTAACCTTCTTAAATTCATTATTAATTTTTAATCTGAATAATGCATATAATCTCCTTCAATACATTTTTACTAATGAAATACAATTACTTTTGCCTCATAACTATGGGTCAAAAATCATAATAAACTGACATTCAGAAACATGCAAAAAAGTTTCCAGAAAATCTGATATAGAAATCATAAATTCATCATAAATATACAAAGAACTTTATCAATGTTATTATCACTTTAACTGCAACAACAGTAATCAGAGTATTATTACAATAAGCCTTATCCAGAATTCAGTAGAAAATACTAAAATGGAATAAACTTAAACTTCGTTAGCAACAAAAACAACCGAATGCGGATTTTATACATGAACAGAGTCGTAAATTCGTAAACAACACTTCTAAAAAAGTTCATTTAAAAAACCTTAACATATAAGATTAGAAGTAACATTGTGCTCATTCAAACGTAAGTAGAAAGGATATTACATGAATTTCTTGTTTAGATTACTGTTTCCGTATTACTGTTCAAAGATAGCATTTTCAAAATCACATTAATACTTGAAAACTTTATTAATATTTAGAATTTTTGTCATTTCACAGATCGATTATTTAAGTGGAAGTAGATATTTTATACGAATTATTTTTATAATTTTATAATCACTCACTAAATGCAAAAATTATAAACAATTATTTCCAAGCCATTATGCATTTTTCACAATAAAAAGTAGAAAAATAAAATGCAATTTAAAAAGTACTGATAAATAATAAGTAAGATATACTTCAGTTTCCTTACAATACTTTGAAGAACTTTTGCAGTTAGCTACCTTCAAATTCTAACTGACAAATTACTTTGAAGAACTTTTGCAGTTAGCTAACTTCAAATTTCAACTGACAAATACCAGCATTACTTTCAGTAATTTAATCATAAGACAATTGAAATATTCTAAAAAATTTAAACTAATAACAGCATGATAAATAAATTCTCTATCCAAAATGATTAAAATTTGTTGCCATTAATGACTGCTTCAAGATGATTAAAATTTGCTACCGATAATTAAAAACTAAATTATTAAGTAAATACAAGTTCCCTTCGCTTCAATTTGAAGCTACTTAACGAAAGAAACCAGTATGATGGGTTCAATATTTTTTTGCTAGATAATTAACAATATTTATATAAAGCATGTGATTTGATTTCTTTACTTCAAGAACTGATTACTGGTTTACTCTTCGTTATTTCGTGAAAATTAAAGTTATTCATCGAACTTATGTTTAAATTACAATCACTTTATATCATTTTTTGGAAATAATAATACTAGAAAAAAATTAAAAATATTTTTTCGTATCGTTCAAACTGCCTTTGAACCAATTTGTTCTGGTTTTTTATTCTTTTACACCGAAATGCATTCCTCGATTATTTCTTGAGAACATCATTTAAAAATGTGTCATCCATTGTAACCGTGTACATTCCGCTGAAATTTGTAATAGAGAACTGATCAGAGTAATGTCGCAAAATTTCATTGATTACAAGATCAAAAAATTATAAACTTCCCGCGGAAAATGTTGCGAATATACATCTAAAAAGGCGCCTAATTCTGATACGTTATAAGGAATAGTAACTATTTCCTCTTCCCAATAACATAATAGGTTACAAATCTATTTTGACGATTGTTATTGTGGTCGTAGAGCGCAAAAAATTATGGATAGTTCAACTTCTCCAGGGTCAACAAAACGTAAGGGGAAGTCATCACCAAGTGCCAAACTGACGAAGGAAGATGTATCACGTGAATCAAAGAAATCAACGAAGGGTAACGATACAGAACGCATGGTAGGCAAATCACCTTTGAAAAGTGCATCATCTTCCGAGCTTTTAACTCAAGTAAAACCCCAAGTATTCGATGAACCTGGCCAGTCAGGAAAAGCTAAATCGGTTCCAGCAACCCATGATTCTAAACAGAAGCCTAAGTTAAAGTCTGAATCACCAAGGAAACCTGAGCATAGTGTCAAACGAAGATCTCAGTCAACTTCCAAATCATCATCAAAAACAAAGCATGTTTCCAAGCCAAAGTCAGAAGTAACATCAGAGGATTCGAAAACAGAACATATGTCCAGAATAGAATCTACATCAACATCTAAATCTTCTCAAAAAACTAAGCATAGTTCAACAGGGAGATCTATGGCAACATCTGCATCACCTCAAAAAACGAAACAGGGTTCCAAGCGAAGATCCAAATCGGTTTCTGAAGTGCACAGGAAAGAAGGGAGTACTTCTGAACAGACTCTAATATCACCCAGAAAACAGCCTGATGAATCAAAGGAAAAACGTAAATCTGGTGAAGAGTCTAGTACTTTTTCTAAGTCACCGCAAAAACAAAAAAAGAAATCTGAAGCGTCTAGTACATCACTTCATTCACCACAATCAAAAACAAAGCTGAAATCCGCAGCGTCGCAAAAAGTGTGCAAAGTACAGAAAACATCGAAACCGGTTTCTACGTCGTCTCTGAAAACAAAACACGAATCAACAGGCAGGGCGTCTACATCGCCACGGAAACGAGTGAAGTCTGACTCGAGTTCGAAGTTACAACAGAAATTCAGATCGCCCTCTACACCGACACAAACAAAAAAAGTTCGTATGGAACGAGGATCAGATACGGCTTTACGAAAAGAAGAACAAGAACCCACCGAGAAATCCAGGGCATCTTCTAAATCACCACGAAGATCAGGAAAAGTATCTACTTCCACTTCTACATCTCCTAATAAACCGCGACAAGATACAGAACAGAAACCCAAGACCATTTCAAAAGATTCCCAAGTAGCGAAAAGCAGTTCAAATAACGACGCAACTTCCAGTTCTCCTAAAAAAAAAAGAAAGAAGTCTAAAGAGGTTTCTACAGTTTCTCAGAAAGTGTCAAAAACAGGACATGACTCTCAATCGACTTCCACATCACACAAGAAAGGAAAGCAAAAACTGACAACGAGTGATGAGGCAGTATCCACACGGGTTCGAGAAGTAAAGCAAGAATCACTGCAGAAAAAACAAAAAAAAGAGAGATTGACTTCTAAATTGAAGAAGGAAGAGCAACCAGAAACAGAGGAAAAAAAAAAGAAAAGTAAGAGTTCTAAATTAAAACGCTCCATGAAGCAAGAATCTCAATCAGAAGAGCGCAAAGAGAAATCTAGCCCTTCAATGGAGCATACACAGCATGCATCAAGATCTCCACGAAAATCAAGCAAATCAGGCACAGCTTCGGTTTCAGCTTCCAAGTCGCCACGGAAGGGAGAGCGAGGATCAAAGAAGAAGCACTCAGAATCTCAACTGAAACACAAATCAAAAAAGGCCTCAGAAACAACAAGAATGCCTCGTAAGTCACCAGAACTCCTCTACACAATGGAACCGCGTGCCAGAAAATCTGCCTTGATGGGAATAATAATAGAACCTGATTCTTCCCCATCAACTTCAAAGCAGGATGTCTCAAAACCACTTTATATATCAGAGTCACCCGAATCTAGTGCATCTTCTGAGTCGCCTAGACGTGCGGCCTCTTTGAGGTCATCAAAAACAAATCTTGAAAAATTGGAATAAAATTAAATCCTAATTAGTTAGTCCTCAGTCCATTTTTTTTGGATTCTACTGACCTCTATTATGACCACAAATGTGTGTGACCTGTGCATTATTCAAATGATATTATTAACATATCACTACTAACTGGCGAGTCGATCTTGGACCTGAAAAATTGCGGGATCATATTAACAATAAACCTGCTGAGTGATATACTTTTTGGTAAAATTTTCAAATTTTGTATTCTTAGCTTTGTAAGTTTTGAATTGCTTTTTTGGATTAAGTATTATTTCAGGTTATTTGAAAACTGTGAGTAATCATTTATTTTTATGTTTTTGTTGTTTTTTTATAGTGATTAAAAGGAATTCGTACATTTTTCAATGACATTCCTCTGCATTTTATTTGTCATGTCTTTTAATACCAATTTATGAAAAAACTTTCTGCTAAAATAATTGTTGCATATGTCAAGATCAGATTTATTTTTACATGTAGATGTTAGTTAGTTTAGCATTTACATGTCTTTTGATTTGCATAATTATTCAAATTTTTTCTCTAAAGTCTTGTTTTTGTTACAGTTTATTTCACGCAATTTGCTCTCAACAATTTTTTACATTATATATTTATGCGTGATTACATATATCATTAGTCTATAATATCTTCTTATTGCTCTTCGCATAAATGAAATGCTGAAAATTTTGTACTTGTTGTTCATTCGAAATTGCTTTTTTAAAAATTTTTAATGCTTTATTTTTGAAATAAATTATTTTCAATTGTGATTTTTTGAAATTATTTGCTTAAAATAGCAATTAGCATTTTTTACATAATTTATTGAATTTAGATTTGTTTTTTTTTTTGTGAAAGCTAATTTTATATGACAACTTTTGCCAACAGTTGTCAGCAACGATAATTTTTGGTACTTAGGTTTCTTTCAGCTCTTTGAATTGAATTTTACGTGAATATCTGAATCGATTCTGTTTATATGAAAAAATCAGACAAAAATGGGTAAGTATTTTTATATTTTTAAATTTGATTGTTTATTTTGTCTTTCATTCAATGCTTATATTATTTGTCTATTTTGTTAAAAGATTTATTATTTTATTGACAAATTGATCTTATAGCATTTCACACTGCAATACTTGTTGACAAATTTAACAAAAAATTATTTTATATAGTAAAATGATAGAATACTCAGTAGATAACTTATTTTCCAGTAGAACGATTTATTATTTTCGTCTAAAAGTATTAGCTTTTTTCTGCATTCAGAAAAACTTATAGGATAAATCAATTCAGTTTTTAAAATCATAAAATGTATCTATATGTTGACATTGTATCTATATGTTCGTAAATGGATCTGTGAGATATTTAAGTGATTGTTATCTGGAGCAGTCGTAATAGATAGATATGATTCAGTGGAGTAATGTTTTTCTAAATGAACTGTTTCTCATATTTCTGTCGAAATATTGCTTTTATTTGTGACTTGTTTGAAGCAGCAGTTGGAATTGAATTGGAAAATAGTGTAGCTTTCTGAATGCCGATGTTAGATAATATTAATGGATTTAGCGTATGTGCAAATCTGATGCATGACGAAGAAATATGTATGTGTTTTCAAGTCTTCGCAGTATGTTTCTCTTCAGTGACTGAACAACCAGTTGTTTGATTTAAATCACTCTGATCACGTTGCTGTGCTTTTTTTTTTCTTTTGGAAACAATATTTCTCTTGCTTATTCTTTGATTTATTTACTTATTTTCAGGTTATTTTTCGATGGCTGTAGTTACTCTCATATTTTTCTTACGTATTTCCTAGCAGTTTTACAATTTTTTTTTTTTAAATTAATCTATTTTTGATCTCTCACGTAAAGATTGTGTTGTGAGGGTATGATGTATAGCAGTAGAGGACACGGTAACGTATGAGCTTGTTAATGTGATAAAATGATTTTGTATAAACTAGAGTGATTTTCATTTAGATTGTTTTCGCGAGTAATTTTGTTCTTGTCAAATGTAAATTGTGTCAGTAGGATAAAGAGTCATCGATAATATTATCATCCTAACATAACTAAGCATTCAAACATACTACTGTAAACCACGGAAAAATTCAAGAGAAATTACTAATGGAAAAAATCTGGCGCTTTGTTAGGTACGCTTTATTAGGTATCGAATTTAAGAAAACAATCACTCCTTAATTCATTAGCCATATTTTTTGGTAGTTATTAAAGTAATGGTTTTTGAGTCAAAAATCGTATGTGTAAACAAATAAATTGGTGCCCTTACCAGTGATTAACAGCATTCAGATTTTACTGCTAATTGGGCCTGAAAGTTTTCACAAATTTCGTCATGTCTTTGAAAAATTCTGAGACCATATAATTCGTTTCGTACGTTGTATATGTTTATTCCATATTTCTGCACATCAGAAAAGTCATCATTTAATTTGAAATGACTTACTACGATGCTGAATTGCTGATTGGATCCAGAACTTTCATGGAGGATCAGAATGCCATTCTAAAAATTACGTTTTATGATAGTAATTTCGCAAGAAGAAGACGGTTTCTCGTAAGTTGAGACTTTGTCATGGTGTAGAGATTCTTGCAAGATTTGAAGAATTATTGCAAAACATGTAACTGTGAAAATCCGCTGATAATTATCGAATTGTTCAGAAATTGCTGATTACGTTTTGTGATAATAATTTCGCAAGAAAAAGACGGTTTCTCGTAAGTAAGAGTATGATTCTAATCGATTAGAAAAGCATGATTCATATTGGAATTGCTACCTGTTTGTGATGTTATTTTGTTTATAATTTGCAAACGCTTTGTTCTGCTTTCTCAGTAGCTCGTCTCTTTGTATTGATATTGGTATATATTGCGATAAGTGAAACGTTTTACAACCATTCATCGTTTTATTTTATTTCAGTTTCAGATTTATCAGAGTCATCCATCTGTTATTCTATAAAAGTGTGATTTTATCTTTGGCTGCATCATAAGATGCAATTGTCAGATAATGATAATACTAACAATTTTGTTCATAAAGAATGTGATCATGTAGTTGATGATGACGTTGGTAATGCGGAAACCCGTTCGGCTCCTGGAGATCTCGAGAAACCATCATCTTCTCGAGAATATTACTTTTCTCAGGATAGTATGTACTTCATTTAATTGCTTCTTTAACTAGAGACTAGTGAATTCCCACTCATAAATTCCTACAATCCTTTTTTTTTTTTTAAATTGTTAAAAAAAAAGATTGTAGGAATTCATGAGTGCCATTTACATTTCTTGCTTTATTTTATTCTGTCTTATTGTATTATCATTTGACAAAGGACTCTAGATATTTCGAATGGCTTTTTAATTATTTGGTAATTCTTTGTGTTAGATGGAATTGGTACAGATTCTGAAGCTGTGATATCTCCATTATTCAATATTGCTAATGGTAATTCGCAGCTGTGCAAACCGGATGAAGTCAATAAAAGACCTGTTGGTCATTACAGGCTTGTTATTTCTAATTATACCAAGATATTTGCATATGAAAGTCATTCTTATGCATATATTTAGGAAAGATTTTTAACTTTTGAATTAAAATTAATATGCTAAGAAGATTTAGTTATTATAGAATATGTTTTTTTTAGAAATTATAATAATGGTTTTGCCTCGGGTCCGCCATGGCCAACTCAGAAACGAGAAAAATCTTGGTCTACAGTGTGTGTATGGCGAAAGCAACAGCAAATTCAAGCTATCGAGAATGAAATCAACGTCATGGCAACAGAATCCTTGGTCGGTATACGGAATTGGAGGTTAAAATTTATATCATATTAAATAAATATTCCAAAAATATTTATAGATCTTGGAAATTGATGAATGTGATGTAATTTGTGATTTGAAAATTTTCAAATAATGTTGTTGCCATAATGGGCATTTGGCTTGGAAACTATTAAGTAAATGAGTTCCATGCATAAAAGTTAAATGCATGTCACATTTTTTCAGCATCATAAATTTTTTGTAGAAATTTCGTTTATTGTTTAGCTCTATAAATAAATACGCATTTTTTATGCGTATTTATTTTGAAATTATTTTTTGCGAAGTTATTAAAATTATTGCATGCTTGAACTTTGCATGACGATCTCTGCTCCTAAGTAGGCCATTTATACATAGTACTTTCTTGTAATACATTCAGACTTAAGAAAATATTGTAAGTGAAAAGCGGCAAAAGTTTATTTACCTGGTAGTAAAGGTCTTTTTAATTTCGTTCATTTTCTAGACCGAAATGGTTGCAACGATTTGGTACAAGGAACTGGATGTTACTGTGGATGTCTTGGTTCTGTACAGTGCAAGGATTGCTTGTAAATGGTTTAGTTCCTTCTGCAATTACTTCTATTGAACGAAGATTTCAGTTCAACTCATCTACAATAGGTCGTATCATGCAGGTTATTTTGCACTTTCTACATTCGCAGTATTATTTCTGTAATGGACTCGTTAATAGTCTTAAAAATATGTGATTTTGGTGTTTTTATTATTTTAATGAAAAAGTCGTCTTGCAGTTTTATGATTTTGGCTATGTGCTTTTATGCATACCCGTTTCTTATTTTGGAGGACGTCATTCAAAACCAATGGTACTTGCAGTGGGACTATTACTTATGGCTCTGGGCAGTTTCATTTTCACAATGCCACACAACTTCTCTGATTCATATACTTCCACATACAACGCTGATGAAATGACATTTAGCAAATGCCATCCATCGCATCAGTCTTTAGGCTAGTAAATTGATTTATTGTTTGTTCATGTAGAATATTAATCATAAAATAATCTTTGTTTATCACATACATCCAACTTGCACTATTATTCACTCACTTTTGTTAATAAGTAATATAGTTACCATTACTAATACAGTAGTAGTATACAGATGTTAGTAAGTAATGTAGCTACATTTTTTAGCGACGCAGCCATTCAGACTAGCTCTGCATCTGTTTAACTTTGCATGACAACTTTCTATTTTTATTTTGCTTAACAAGAGCGTTTTCTGGGTTGTTAATAGATCTTCATCGGTTGAGTTATCTAAGAGATTGTATTTAGTGTTGCAGCAAAACAGTATATAGTCGCGAACTATGTATTATAAGCTTTCTCTTGCTTAAAATCAATGCCTTCTTAGTGAGGCATGAATGCACTTTCCACAAGCATGTATGAAGCTGCAGAGATACAAGCTTACTTCTCTCTTCAGTGATGTGTCCTTGCTCCTTCCTGGATGTATTCTAATTTTTGTGTTAAATGTTATTTTAATTTTTGAATTTTTCAAATTGTTAAAATACAATGCGCATGTTTCTAGAACCAAAAGGAGCAAAAATTAACTACGCAGGACTTCAAATAATTTGTTTTTTTAGAAAGCGAGTTGAATTACTTAGCTCCCAATATGTCGCCGTATTCTCTTATATCAGCAGCTAGTGTTGAAGCTTTACGGAGTTGTCCATCACCAGAAAATCAGGCACGCATAATTTTCGAAATCGCAATTAATGTCGTTTTTATTTATATTTTTACTTCCCATATTTATCCTATACAGATCTTCATTTTTAGCCTGGTACTTTTCGCTATGTTTTCTTCTTCTGTCTCGGTCATTTTCTTCATGGCATCGGTGCAACACCATTATTTACGCTCGGTGTAAGTTATATAGATGAAAATGTTGGTCCAACGTTATCTTCACTTTATCTTGGTGATTTTTTCGTCTGATTTTTCAATATTTCATATTTATAATTTTTCAAAAGTATTGATAATATATTGTTCATTTGGTAGTTCATCACAAAACATCGATAATTGTTTTCGTTAGTAAGAAAATCGCTGTTTCTCAAGTTTTTTTCTTTTGCTAATCTATTGAATTTCAGATTTTTAATAAATACCTTGAAATCTATTTAGGTGTGTTTTATGCTTTTGCGATTTTTGGACCAGCTTTTGGGTTTTTGATGTCAAGCTCGTTTTTGCGCTACCACACTGATTTTTTACAATCGGAGCTTCATATAAAGTTTGTTTTTCAGTTGTGTTTTAATTATTTTTTACATTTTTACATTTGTTTTTATGAAAGTAAAATAATTTTTTAAGGATTTTGAATATCGATGAAACTGACCCAAAGTGGGTCGGTGCTTGGTGGATTGGTTTTCAGGTTGCTAGTACTTTAGCCCTTATTGCTGTTTTTCCCATAATGGTTTTACCTAAAGTACTTCCGGAATCTCTTAAATGGCATCGGTAAGACTATCTTTTCATAGTACTTGCATATCTCGCATTTGCGAAAGGACAAAATATTTTCTTTACTTGACTTAGCTTTTTTTTAAATTTGTAGTACACGATTACATGAAGAGACAATAAGTGGTTCAAAAAAACGTAGTCCTGAATGTTGTGGTATTTCTTCAGTTAGTAAAACGGCTGCTGTATGTGGGCCACTTATACCTGCTGATGGAGAAGGTGAAACCCTTTTTTTTACGGAAATCCGATCAGTCTTTGTCTGCATAAATTCTTAAACATAAATGTTCTAAAAATGTTTACTTTCTTTAGAGAGCAGTAGTTGTCAGTCATATTTCGAACTCATATACTCGCTGTTACTTAGTAAGAGCACATTGTTTTCAGTGAAGATTTCTGTCCTCTTCTTCATTTACTTCATAAAAATTTTTTCTCATCAGTATGAGGCATTTTTTTATTCATTGTTTCTCATATTACATTTAAATAATGTTATTTCCAGAAAATTCTACAGCTGTTCAAACAATTAGAATTGGTGAATCTATGCCAGCATTACAGAACAATCGTGGGCCAATATGGTATCACATATGGCTTGATGTGCGACACATCCCGATTGCTATTTATCGAATAATATCAAATGGGAGCTATATGCTTATAACTTTTGCTATGGCTGTTGACGGTACCTTTTTACAAATTCCGTAAAAATTTTATTAACTTATTCTGGAAGAGCAGTATGATTTGAACTAAAATTATTCTATTGTGATCTGACCAAATATTCCTTGTCCGCCATATTTATACATTCCATGCAGGCCATATATCTTGCAGTCTGTGTTGTTACAGTGAGTGAAAACCCTTTCTTTTCTCTTTTTTAATTTTTTATATCCAGAGATAGAGGGATAATTAATCCATTGAGAACGTCTCACTTTATTCTGCGGTTTCGCTCCATTATTACCAATTGGTTGATGAGTTCTATGAGAATTTGTTTTTGTATATTCTGTTGCATGTTCGTCCAAAGCTTTTTCCAAGATATACGAGTCTAAAAAAATGCTTTTTGAAAAGAGAAAACTATCAGAGCAGTTATATCAGATCATTGAGTCTGCTTTTTAACTAATTGATAACGATAGTCGTCAAAAAATTTACCTTCAATGCATCCTGTTAACAGTGTAAAAATCATGGGAATGAAAAATGTAAGATGATTCATAATAACAGATCTAATTCATATTTGCAGTTACATTTATATATGGAATGGTGGCCTAGAAAATTTCAGCAGGATCTATTTCATAATTTTTCAAGCATATAGAACATCATGTAAAACAAAAAATTCTACTATACATTTTCAATTTGATCTAAAACGAATTTCTCCGGAGCGTTAATAATTCTTTGCAGTCGTAGATTTTAGAAAAGTAGTGAACCAACCGGAACAATTGAACAAGAAAAAATGACCTATATATTTGTTAAAACATCTCATCGATTTTTCGATTTAAAGTTTGCAGGATTCATCATAACAGGCGCCTCAACATTCATGTCCAAGTATCTTGAAAGACAATTCAGTGTTGCTCCGAGTAAAGCAAATATGTTGATTGGTACGTCATTTATTTTTAAAAATTGTTCAAAATACAGTGGTTTTGTACTAAATAAAAAACATCGAAAGAATTATTTTTCTCTCTTCAGGTTGTATAATGGTACCTATGGCTGGGATAGGGACAATGTTTAGTGGATTCATTGTCCAGCGATTTCGTCTAAGCTGTGTCAAAACATTGAAGTTTTGCATAATGTTATTAATGTGTACACTTGTTCTTTCACCAATGTACCTTGTTTACTGTGATCACGATCCTCTTGCTGGAATTGAGGAATATTATGAAGTAGATGCGTCAGTCTTTTGAAAACTATTCTAATTCACAACTAAAACTTAATTTCAGTATTTATCATTATTCAGTCGATGCATTTATTATTATAATCTTTAGTGCATATAAAAGGAATATATTTAACTGTATTCTGGTAGCATTTTAAGTGAATGAAGTACTTCTACCTTTTTCAAATTTTAAGTGTGTCGAATTCAAATCTAAATGATAATGGTTCGAAAATATTACCCTCCTTAAAATCTGCTTGTAATTCTCACTGTGACTGCGTTCCGAGTGAGTATCATCCTGTATGTGCTGAACTTCGCAATGACAAACAGATCTCGTTCTATTCACCTTGCTTTGCGGGTTGTCAAGAAAAATATGAACAGCTGAAAAAGGTTATTTTCTGAAGTTGCATGCAGTTTGCTCAATGGAAAGTAGGCTGTGAGGCTTCGCTTGTTTCATTGATTAGTTAATGGTGCAACAAATAGTACGACATATTTCTCACAGTCGTTATTTGCGATTTAAATTTAGTGATTAGAAATAACTTTTCGATTATTTCAGATGTATTATAACTGTTCATGCATACCTGAAAATACAAGATTTGGGTACAGAACCGTAAAAAGTGGGTTATGTGAATCAAAATGTAGAGGACTTTTCGGATTTCTGGCTTTATTCGCTCCGTTCTGTTTCTTTGCATTTGCTATTGGCGTACCACTGATATCAGTCGTGTTAAGGTCTTTTTGAGTACAAAATTTTTATCAGTCAATATAATGAAATGAAACTATAAGCAATCTGTATTATGTTAGTATACTGCATCAAACATTTAATTGCTGAGACATGAAGAATATATTTCAGAACAGTTGATTATGCTGAGCGTTCATTTGCTCTTGGAATTCAATGGATTTTGGTGAGAGTTATTGGTACCATTCCTGCCCCTGTTCTTTTTGGATGGATGTTTGATGTGTCATGTATTCGTTACAATTTAGATGCATGCTCAGGCAAAGTATGTTAGAAAATTCAGTTGTATTTATTGCGATATACGTGTTTAAGTAAATTTAAAAAATAATGTTTTTGTTTTTCAGCAAGGAAGCTGTATGTTGTATCAAAATAAGCTTTTGGCAGATCTTTTTCTTGCTTTCAGTGTGGTTGGACAGGTGAATTTGCCATCCAATTATTTATTCACTTTGTTTACTGAATGTAAACTTTATGGAAAAAAAATAAACTTTTCATTTATGTTAAATTTTGGAAAAGTATATAAATTAATTTGACCGTTTATTTGTTTTATTTTTTGAGTATTCGTTCTAAGCATATTTTAGACAATAGCCATGACGCTGTTGGTGTTCACATTATTATTTTTTTCATCGCAAATGAGGGATGACCCGCTACCCACTGAGGCAGTTATTGACAATACAGGATTATCTGAAGCTAATGAAGAAGCAGAGGTGGAACTTCTGTAAAAAGCTGTGGATAGATTTCTTGTTTTGAAATATTACATAAGCTTTAATCAGCATTCTATATATTTATTAAGTTTTTCATATTTAGTTTCGTGAACATGTAACGGCATAAAAATAAGTGAACAAATTACAATAATTTCCATTTGAAGTTCGGTGCATTTTTGCACTTCAAAGCATTGTTTTTCAATTGTTAGACCTCGAGATCAATACATATCATTGCATCTAAAAATTTATCAAATTTGACATAGTTTTAAAGTCATATTCCAATTCCAGGTAGTGCGTCCAGTGCCAAAATGTTCTGACAGAGTATTGTGATACAATTTTGTGAATAAGTTTGACTAAATTACTGATAAGCTCTTCGCTAATTGTCGATCACTTTCCTTCTACTTCCTTAGCTTCAGAATCTCGCTGCTTACTTACTTTTATTGTTTTTGTTCAACATGAAAATCGTTCTGTTGCATTTACAACATAGTGCATTCTATTTTTCTCTCATCTTTCAGTTTTGTGTTTAGGCGGTTTCTTAATAACGTTTCTCAGCTACCGTAGCTCGATTTTTTGCCTATAACTTTAAATTTTCTATTTTTTAAAAATTTCCAAATAGAATTTTTGCATTGAAACCTCACTTTACAGGCAGTTGTGTCGCTCGATTTCTAGAAGGTTTTTTTTCGGCAAATTGTTTGACAGTTTTTTTGAATTCATTACTTGATAGAATAATTTTTTTATTTCAGTTCATTGTAAATGATGTAATTAGAATTTGTTTTTCAAGAAAATGGTAGAAATCGATCTTTCGATACTTTCTTGCTTATTATTAATGGCTGGCAGTCAAGTATCATTTTTAAATTTCTTAGTACACGTTGTTTAACACTTCATCATCAGAAGATAAGGCTTTATTTAAATGATTGTTTGTGTTGTGTGCATTACGGGCATTGTGGTTATGTCAAAGGCCTTTATAAATCAACTCTATGGTATCGTTGTTTCTGTTTTGTTTTGCAGCTAAATTTTATTAATTAATAAATGATTTTACATGTTTTTGTTGTGTTTCTTATGTTAAAAAAACAGAAAATACTCCGTAATAATACATCCTTGACATGGAAGCTGCTGCATACAAATCTTGAGATGAAATTGACGAGTTTACATGGATCCAGTGATACTGTAGATGATATATGTATGCCGTGTACAATGTTTCTGATATCAAAAGCAAACAAATTGCGTTGAATAAGATGATGAGTTGATTTGCATACATTATATCCACTGTGAGAAGCAGTTAACCTAGACGAGGTCCTAGTATTTTCGTTATCTAGATTTCTGCGCGGTTGAGTTGAGAAGAATATGTGTTTAATAATTTAAAAACTGCAGTATTTATCATTCAGGATTCCATTATATAGTAAGTGGATGGAATAATAAATCTGCTACTATGAATTTTGAAATAATCTTTGAAGGTTTTATTTTCATATTTCTTCTTCTGCATAGAATAATTTAATCAATGAAACATGGTTGCTTACTGGTTATTTTCGATGTGTACCTAAGATTTCTGGATTTTGTAAAAGTATCAGAAGATGAATAGCGATTTGGATGATCAAAGGCTTTCTTCTATGCAATCGACGACAAGTGAATTTAACGATTCAAAGAGAGAATTGAGACAAGTGAGATGCTGTGTACATGGCCGTCCATGTGCTATCGCTTCCAGATTTTCTCGGGTTTGAACTTTCAACTAACATGAAAAATAAATGATTGCAGAATCTTTAGTCTCAGACATTAAACATTTATTGCTAATTTATTCTGGTTCTTAATTAATGAAATTGTTAAATATTTATAAAATTCATCTTTCTCATGTAGCTTAAAGGTACAGGAACGAGAAGAAGAAGTTAATCGAGATTTATCATCAAGATCCCATAATTATTCAGAATCTCCTTATGAGAATATTTTGAAAAATTCTAAGTCAAACAGTGGTGATACTATCTCTTACGGCTTACTAAGAAAAGTTGAACGTGACAGTTAGATTTTTATAGAAATTGTCTTTTTTTTCTTAATTTTTGATTATTACCCTATAGTATCACGTAAAGTAAATTCATTGACTTTTACAGATAATAAGAGGTGGATTTCCAAACAGATTAAATTTTATTTTCAACTAATAATAATTATAAAGATATTTATGAAAATGAAATTTTATAATATTCTTGATATATACTCGTAACTTATTTCTTAAAATTACAGCTCTGGATGTTCCGCTAAGTAAATGGAATCTGCATACGTCTCGGTCATCAAGTAGTACTTTTGATTTAGAATCTATTACAAGCTTGACTGAAAGTGATCGAGAGGGAGTGAAATCAAATGAATATGAAGTAAACCACAATATTTTTATTAATTTTTTCGTGACTCATGCCAGACTAAATTAATTCAAATGATAAATATTTTTGAAATCTTAATTAACACGTAAAATTTGCAGCTTTTTCTTCCACGTAAAGTTGAACGTCATTCTTTGTCTGGAATTTTGGATGCCCCATTTATCAGTAAAGTGTCGAGAAAATTTAAATCAAAAGAAAGTTGCAGTCAGTATGAACTTATAATGCGTCCGTAAGTCGTTATGATTAATTTTAGAAGCCAAAAATATTGTTTTCTATTAGTGCTATTAATGATAATTATAAACATATGATAATTTAAGATCTGAATGATTGATATAGCTTGACTCTGACTGCTGTACACACTGGTACAACTTAAAGATCAGTAACATAAATACAATAGAAAAAATTTGATGTGAACAAGATTACATTGAGGAAAAGTAAAATACGCGTCAGCTGTAAGAGAAGTAAATTATGCGGACATGAGATTTCATTACTTAGATAATTTAATAGGATGTCATACTTGACATTTAGAGAGGGTTCAGATGTCACGTTAGTAAAGTCAAAATTATCAAAGGAGCAATCTATACAAACTGCACGAACGGGTGGCTCCACAGAAATGACACCATCGATGGGAGCGTACATCGGAATAATGACCGAAGGTCAAGCTGAAAAACATGTTTCGAAACCTACGTCCTTCAAGCTTTACCATAAAGTAAGTAAGCTTTTAACATTGCACTGTTCTATATTTATTTATTCAGACTACAAGAATCTCAAAATCTTGACAAGCTTATTTCAGATGCCAAATATACGTGTATTCAACGACATATTACCGTCGCTTGCACTATACATTGTCTACCACAGTGAAAAAGGACGCATTCGGTGTGTTTTTAACTTTTTCTGAAATTTTTGCAAATTTTGAAATATATTTTCTATACTTTACTGTAATGTATGCAATGTACAACCGACAAAACGATCAAATGGAAAAAAAGAAATTGAATTAGCACTAAACTTCAAAAATTTTTAAACGTATCAAATAACAATTGTTACTTAACGTGGCATACGTTTGCTCTTTTGTAGAGTTCAGAATGTCATAGGTAAGTCTGAAAAATATTTAGGGTGAAGAAAATGCAGAAATTTTTGTGAATAAATTCATTAATATTGCAATGTGAGAATTTGCTTTTAAATACTTTGGAGTTTTAGGATTTCAAAATATTCTGAGAATCATTTTGTTGCAACTTATTAAATAACATATTCAGTAATTATCGGATCAAAGAATGCAGGCATCGTGCGGATTGTCCTGAAGCAAGATCTAAGCTAACACCAACTGTCGATTTTCAAGTTAGTTGGTTATAGTAATCAAATTGCATCATGGAAACCTGGTATTGTTCGTAGTCAGTAAAAAATTATTAGCAAGTAAAAATTAATATTACATTATATTCCTCAGATAATCTTGTACTGTAATCTAGGAGCAATTAGTTATACATTATATTTGTGTTTATTTTGCGGAATACTAATACTGACGTCACATTACATTAACAAAAAACGTTCTGCGATGATTAATCATAATAATTATATATTATTTGTCGAACAAAGACAATTTACAGTTTCTTGTCTCTTGACTATCAATGAACTGTTCTGAGTACAAGAAATGAATAAGTACTGCTTACTGTACAGGTAGATTACGGCGACCCCTTCGCACCACGCTTCTCGACTATCGATGCACTCGTCGACTACTATAATATTTACGTACACTTTCAACAAGAAAATGGTAAATGGGTGACAGACATATTTCCAGATAAAAGCGTAAAGTCAAGCAGTACATCGTCTATACTTACTGTACAGAAATATTACTAAGTGGAAGACTTCGTGATATTCTGTTTACTTTGTAAACGAGAACAGAAGTAAGATTCTCAAAACTTTATTGTGAGCAGTACATGTCAATTATATGTAATGTTTAAAGAATTAAATAAAGTAAAATGAATTTGTTTTTTAAATATACAGCTTCAACGATCTTAAATGTGCACAATTTGTTGTTGTATGCAATTAAGGAATATTTCATTTTTTTTTTTTGCTTGTTTTATGTATCAAAAATACACTGCAACAAATACTTAATTTCTATAAAAACACGTTTTATACGCATAAACAATTATATTTTAAGAACAAATACTACTTGAGCAATATATAATATTTGATTTTCCAAGTTTGAATCTGATTAATTTTAACTTAGACTTGATGCAGTGCCTAATCTGCAATCTGCTAGCAACTGATTAGAAGAATAATAAAGAATGTTGGCATCAAACTGTCACGTATATATAAATATTAAACAACTTTTGCAGTGAATTATAATTTGTATAAATTGCTGAAAGTAATGATGGCAGTAATTTGTCACGTGATGTTTGAGTAAAATGATAAGCCGTAGTTTATAAGTAAAACGATTCACGTGATTTTTAAGTAAAACGATTCACGTGATTAAGTAAACCGATAAATAGATAACTTTTTAGTCAATTTAATCACAAAAAACTCTCCAACACAATTGAATAAAATGTCTAAAAATAGTTTGGTATTAATGAATGGAATGTAAATCAGCAATTTTTAATGTTATGAAAATTATTTTTACGTTATTATTGTAAGCATATGTGCATGCTTCAGAGACATACAGTCTTTAGTAATTAGCAATGTTAGCTGATAACTGTGTCTACAACATAGTTTAAACGTAGTTTAGACTCTATTTTCCACGTACGAAAGTAGGATTCATAAGTCAGATGCTAGACAGCAACGGAATTGCTATTATCAAACGAAAGAGTTAGAACTAAAAAATATAAAAGATGCCTTTGAATGATGAGAAAGAGAGAAAGAGTGCATCAAAATTGTACTCAATGAGGTTAGAAAACAGGATATTGCACGTGTTATTCTGGGTTTATTTGTTGATAGGAACTAGTTCTCGAAATACTGGAATATCGCGGTCTTCTTTCTAGACTAGGGAGGTATGTACTCGGGTCCTTCTATAGACTTTTAACGTCAGGAATTGATTTTTTCGGAAATGCTGAAATACGAAGTAGGGAGACTAAAGATGTATTGTAATGGTGTATGGTTTGTCAGGTATATTGTGTAATAATCTTTGAGTAATATATTTATTAAGTTATTTTTTGTCGAAGTTTTTAAAGCAACTTTTTAGCTCGTATTTTTTTTTTCATCTAATTGCGTAAATTTTAATGATTTTCTGTAATTACTTCTATGCATCTCATATTTGTTTAGGCTAACTATAGCAATGCATTATTATTGAAATTAAAATGACCGAAGTGTTAATGACACGTTCCTCAGATATGGATGAAGAGAACAATGCTAATCCCATCACATCAGTCATTATCGTTGCTGACAAGAATCGATGTCCACGAGGTTTCACGCCGGTATGCTTGCTTCTCTTTGATGTCCTTATTCTGTTTCATGATAACCGTTGATGGTAATGCGAAATAACATACCGAAATGAGTTCTTGTGAAATGTATATCCGTTAATAAATTCATTGAAAATATTATGCGATGAGGAGTGATGAGTCACGTGTAGCATAAGCATGAATATACAGTTAATGGCGTACTATGTATATATTGATTACAATTGCTTAGGCATTTCGCTGATTCGAGCAAATCAAAAATTACAGTTGATACAAAATTTCACATTTGGAAGAACTTTATTTCAGTGGTGTGCTTCAGATATGATCATCGGTAGAGAGCATTCAAACATAAGTTTATCGTTTCTGAAAAACTGTGGAGTAAGTGATGATAGTGAACGGTTTTGTATAAGATATTTATATGACAGTGACTTACATGAATTGGTGTAAAGGGCCAGATTTTATATGGACTGTATGCTGAAATGTACGAGAGCACTTAGAAAGCATTGAGCTGTATTTGGTCAGTACATGGTTATTTTTGAATATTTTGGTTTATTACGTTGTTGTGCATGTTTTTCAAAATTCATATTAATATTTCAATTTAATATCACACTATTTTTAGATCACAAAAACTTTTGATGAACAGAGTGATGCTGACTTATGGAGAGAAAGTTCCTTCACTTTTTTCAGTCGGCCAGTGCGATATTTAGCGATCAGTAGAGAGGCTCCTCGAAACACGGTGTTCTTTGCTTAAAGGATTTTTATTTAAAATCAACTAGAATAATTGAAATTATCCTACATTATCTGAAATCAAATTTTGATCATCTTTTCGAATTTGCAAAAAGTTTAGTGACGTGTCTCTTTTTATCATTCGTTTCTTGATAAAACTCATCTTTGTCACTGATGATAATGAATATATGAGTGAATATTTACATGAATTAATTTTTCTGCGTTTTACAAGGACCGGTAATTTAGTAATTGTAATTATATTTTGAAGTAACATTTTTGTGCATTTTCACAGATCTTCAGGGCAGTGATGTTTATTTACATATATTTAAAGATTTTATTTGTGTTGTTATAGGCCGGCGCACATGTGGTGACTGATTTATGCGTTGTAAAGGATTCAGATCCCATTCCTATGGGTTTTATCGCTATTGATTATACAGCCGACTCAAGTAAGTACTTGAACTGTCGCGCGCAAATAATTTTTTATTTAGATTGTTTTAGGCAGTGTGTCAAGTATTTTTTTTTCGTTAATCGCTAATTCTTTTTCTATCTGTCAAATAATTACCATCTAATAATTGTTATTTTCTTTAAAATTTATTCTTTTGGATTTGTTCCTCGAAATTGTTTTAGAATTCTTCATTAAAAAGATTTTCAGATTTGCTAACATAGCAGGAAGCGACACTACTGAAAATCTAAAAATAATTATCTTTTAATTTATTTGTTTATCCTTTTCATTTTTCACCTTTCAAATCAACATTTTCAGAAGAGAAAGCGCTACGCAAAAAATATCTCTGCGTTCGTACAGTTGCACGAGATGCTGTTGTAGATGCCGTTGGAGAAATCATTTTGTTAAGTAAATGGCGAAAACCACTCAAGAATTATTCATCTGCTGGGTTTGCATTGTTTTGAATTTTACAAGTGTCGTAAGAGAAATTATAAAAAAAAAATATTTCAGATTAATTTAGGTATTCTTCTAATGCTCGGAAAAGACAATAAAATATTAATGCCAAGTACTAAATTTTTCCTCCGATTATAAATTTTTTCGAGGTCATGTCTGGTATTTTGATTACTGTTTAGCTTCATTTATTCATTTTCAGAGAAATAGATGGAATTTTAATATGTTTTAAACATATTATAATCCCTTCATCATTTGGTATTGCGATCCCTCGAAGCAGGTCGTAGGTTTTTTTTGATTTGAGCTATTTTTATCGAACTCTTCTGCTTCCATATTTTAGTTTCCAGAGATATTCATGGTGTCAAGATTAATTGCTTCATTTTATGAATGTCTTTACTAGTTTTTTTTAGAAAATTTTCTTCACCATTTTAAGTTTTGAGATAATTTCTTGGGACCCTACTTTCATTTCACAGTGATTCTCGCGACATTTTCATATTTACTGAATGTCTTATACATATTAAAGCTATTTGTAGTACGACCTCCGGTTTGTATCCCCCAATGGATACTGAGCTTCGACATTCTGACCCTTCGCTAGATAAAACAGCTAAAAAAGGGAGCTTTAATACCAGCGCCTTGACTATAAAAGCAAGTGTCAAACGAGGTATTGAAGATATTCCCTTTAAATTGAATCCGCGAGTAGAAAGTACTCTAGACAAGAAGGTGATGTTTTTTCATGATTTAAAAATTAAAGTTCTAGTCTTCTTTTGAAAATGTATTTTAAAAAAGTCGTCAGTTATTTTCGGCATATCAAGATTTCTCAGAACTGTTGAGAAACTGTATCGAGAGCATCGATATCTATTCATAACATTATAGGCTAAGTAAAGATATAACTTGAATATGAAGTCGGTATAAATTGATTAATCGTGTTAATAGTGTGCTTTTTCTGAGGTCCAAAAGAAATGGATAGATTGTATTCGATAGTACTGCAGTTATTTACTATAGTAATTTGAAATATTTTATTCCAGTTCGATGAGTTACCAGACTTGAAAACATACGACTTGGAACAGCTCTATCGTGATTATTCATATCAGTTTACTTTGGAGCGAGCTACGCTTTCCAATTCGTGATCCTTATTAGTATGTTATATTTCTACTCCATCATCTTCTGCAGCTTTTACTAAGAAAAGTATACATAAGTCTGTGCTACGATTTTATTTCCTTGTAGATTTCAAGTAATGTATTTTTTGTTTGTATTTAAGACTTTAAGTTATGCTTTGTGTACGATCACTTGCAATGTTTTATAAATATCAGAGAAATATTTTTCCTGAGCTGCAGTTAAGGTAGCAGTGCAAGATTTATTTATATGAATTAGTGCAGAATGAACTTAAAAATTATAGTGTGACGAATCTGTGCTAATCCAGTTTTTGCTGCACGAATCTGCAGTCCAATGTCGCAATTCATTTTTGCGTGTATTTCAACATTATTTGTGTATATTTATTTCTTGTATTTGACACTAAAATGATGAATATACATATTGGTTGTGATTCTGTATTCTTGATTCATGCATTCATTCTGGTCATAGTTATATATTCTCTTCTTTAAATTGTTTGCTAGAATTGCATGAATCAAAATAATGGCTGTTTGAAATTTTTCGAAAACTCACATTGAAATCTACTAATCTTATTTTAAAGAAAAATTAAAGAATTTTACCAAAATCTTTGTTGATTTATTTCAAAATACAATTTTAGTTTTTTTTGTAGAGCAGAAACTGATTTTCACGATAACTGCAAAATGATCGCAACTATATTTACAGTAATAACAAAATTACTTGCAAACTGCTTGAACAAATCAAGTTTTGTTCTACTTGAAAAGTTTGTGCTTCATATTTCAAATGCTTGAGATTCTTATAAGCAGTAACTTCATGGAATCGTTTATTGCAAATTTAAAATAACAGCAGGTGGAGTTATGGTTTCATCTATTTTTATCTGTATTAACATGAAGTTTATTGCTAGTATTGAGTCTGTATTAATCTTTAGTTGTATCAAGGTTAGTCATTCCCGAAGTAGAAAGGATTCATGTTTGTGATAAAAGTTCGTTATTATTTCTTGTTTTATTAATTTCTGTCGTCGTTCTGGGGATAACTCTGTTACTGCAAACAAACGTAGTGCAATTATGTGCATAACTATGGCTGTTTAAAAATATTAACATTCTATAACTTAATAATTAAGAAGAATTGTAATCTTCTGTGTATGAAAATGGTTCTAAAACTCTTCGTTTTTCGTTAAAATATAAAAAATTACAGAATTGTGTAGGTTTAATAAAAAATATAGAAGACTGCAAAATGGAATAAGTAGTTATTCGAAAAAAAGTAATAAATCACAAGTTATGAGTTTATTATATCCAAAAATTAGCTGTAATATGACTTATGCTCACAAGTCTTTTATGTTCCTTTGAGATTTTGTTTTAAAATTTATTCACTACTATTATTGGTATTCATAGATTTATATATTGTGTTTTCATCATGCATTTTATTTGCATAAATGATTAATATTTCAATACATCTGCGTTTAGTAATATTTTCAAGCTAAATAATAAAAATAGTTATTATTTATTAGCTAAAATAGCTTTAATTATTTTTCTGCTAACATTTCTAATTTGATTGTGTTTTTTGCAATGTTTTCAGTTACAGCTGTGCAATATTTTTCAATCATATTGTTTTTATTTAATCAAAATTACTTTTATTCCTTAATCAGTGATCTTAATCCATGATTAAGATTATAATATCTGTTTTATCATTAATTTTGTAATAATTATCAAAAAATAATGTGTTAAAAACATGAATGAATTTTTATTATACAATAATGATAAGTACAAAATTTACAGTAAATTTAATTGTTTCATTAAAGTTACTGAAAAAAGAGTAATAAGCAATACTTAGCTAAGATTACACTAGGCGATTTGGAAGTTCAAATTATTTTTCCTTGAATAAGTAAGCAGCAATAATTTATTCAAAAAATGTTTTTGTCACTTAGAATAGCATAGATTTTGCATTCAAACAAAAATGCATTTGCAAAACGCTTATAAAAAAAGGCATTAAAAATTTATTATTAAAGAATTATTGATTGATAATAATTCAGAGTTTTGTAAATTCCTTCAAAGTTCGAAAATAAAATTGTTAATTTCTATTAGCACTTATTTTTGCACTCTAATTCGTGCTTTTAAATAGTTAAAATAGGTGTTGATATAATGCAAATATCACGCTATATTTAGCTTTGTTACACTGTTACGTTATAAATTATTTCTGCGTAAATTTTGCCGCAAATCATATCAGTCGTAAGTGAACTTTACCACGTACGTTTTTTTTTTCAATTAAAAGACTTTTATTATTATTTTTAATTCATTATTTTTGTTTTCAAATTTACAATTATTTTTGCAATGTTTGCAGTAATAAAAACATAGTTTATCAAGTTAAGTTTGCAATTTTGTGAATGAAATGAAAAAACTGAACAACTTTTAGTTGAAGAAGTGAGAAG